TTCTCTCTCTCTCTCTCTCTCTCTCTCTCTCTCTCTCTCTCTCTCTCTATTTATTTATTTTATCGGAGTTTCTTATCGGTTATCTCTTATCTCTTATCTTCATTCTCTTTGTCATATTGTTATGCGAGGATAAATATTATTTTATTTTTACGTTATATAAATTTATATATATCTAATGTTTTCGATCATTTCTAATGAAAACTTTGTTTCTTGTCGTTACAGATCAATCCTTTAAATGATTCGCATCAGCAATTGATGGTACATTGGGTCGGGGAGGGTTCCAATGTAATAATATGTCTAGCAAGGGATAGCACGCCCGTGGTACGCTTCCAAGGAGGCAAATTCTCTTCCCCGAACCAACCTAGCGCTGTGTACATCAGTTACGATTATGGTGATACCTTTGAGAATAAGACTGAATACTTCAGGGTTTCATCTGAGGCCGATGCCCCATATGCTGTTGTAGACAAATTCACCAATCATCCTAAGTACTATCAACACGTGAGTCCCGCTTTACAAAAATTATTCTTACAAAATAAATAGCCGGTATATTTTCCTGGCGCATCTCCAATTCTATTGTTTAAAGAGTATTCGCGAGACTTCCTTTCTTTTGTAGTGCGTCTTTATGGACAGTCTGAATAGTTTAATCTTCATAACATATAATAACGGTCTAACAATTCTGAGGATCTCGTTGTCGTTTCATCCAAGTGAAGTCTCGTATTTCGAATTAGATCCACGGATACTTGTCGCACTAGACAAAGCCGATCCAACGCGGAAGGTATGTATAAAACTTATTATATTATTATTTTACAATTATTTAAATTTACATGCTACCATTATTATCTTATTTTAAAAAATATAAAATGATACAAGAATTCTTTTTTCTGACTGTGGAATATTTCGATTTTAGTTGTGGTTGACAATCGATCGTGGATTTACCTGGATGCCAATTCATCAATCGGTAAAGGCTTTCTTTTGGTCTCCTTATCGTGAGCTATTAATTGAACGCACGGAGTCTGATGGAGCGAATACGGTTTTGAAATTGGATCTGCGAAATATATCCTCTTATATAAGAGGAAACAATCATTTACGAGTAAGAATGTCTATACGAAAGGAATTTATCACCATCGTTGAAAACGTTGAAGATTTTCAAATCAGAGGCGATTTCATGTTTGCAGTTAAGAAAAGGGTAAGGATCACAATAAAAGTGCTACCTGTGGAATCTCTTGTAAGATTCAGAATTTAATTATTTTCATTTTGAACATTGTTTTTATTTATTTTAACAGAATGGAACGGAACATTTAGACCTCTTTGTCTCTTATAAGAATCAGACGTTTGTCCAAGCGCATTTTAACACGGAATTGAATTGCAAGGAATATCATATTGTAGATGTATCGTTCAATCGAGTCTTTATCGCTGTGAAACACAGTGACACTGTGATTAATCTTTACGTGTCAGAAGTTATAGATCATGAGAAAGCTATATTTACGTTATCTCTGGAGAGTATCCTCACGTTTTTCCCCAACAGCACTTGGAAAGACAGCTGGTTGAAGTAAGTAATGAAATATAATGGATACCTATATATTGTTTATAAAAGTAAAGTTGGAAATTTTACAAACTTATAATTGCTGTAAAAGCTGTGAAATTTGTAAAAATAAGATAACAAGTTTAAAAAATTCTTTGTTAATTTAATTTTTCTCTTTAAATTTGTTAATATCTTCTTAATTTATTCGTGTACTTATATGATTTTATATTTGCGCAGTGATGTGGCTGATGAGGCATTTACGGATCTCTATAAGGTCGAAGGTCTTCGAGGCATATTCATAGCATCGCGGGTCAAAGGTACTCCAAAATCAAGCTCCATTGGACCAGAACATTTGGAATCATTAATTACTTTCGATCACGGCGCCACTTGGAACAGCATTAAAGCACCAATGGCAAATCACGAAGGCTTCTACATTCACTGTGGAAAAGACTGCTCATTACATTTAAGTCAAAGATTCAGTCAATTGTATCCGGTGACGAGATCTGTTACTATTATGAGCTCAAAATCAGCGCCCGGAATAATAATGGCCACTGGTGTCATTGGGTCTAGCTTGAAGGGTCATCCCGCACTCTATGTATCTAAAGATGCTGGTCTTACGTGGAAACAAGTGTTAAAAGAGTATTACTTCTTTAACATGGGCGATCATGGAGGTTTATTGGTGGCAGTTAAGTATTTTAAATCGCGCGGAGAGACTAGAGATATTTCATATTCAACGGATGAGGGCGAAACATGGCAGACGTACGAATTCAACGAAAAGATGTTGCGTGTTTACGGTCTCATGACGGAACCTGGAGAAAATACCACGGTATTCACTATGTTCGGATCGGACAGCGGACAACATCAGTGGCTTATTATCAAGATTGATCTACGAAATGTATTTGAAAGAGAATGTACGGAAGACGATTACAAGTTTTGGTCTCCATCGAGCACCGACCAACCGGTCATGGCTTGCGTGTTAGGACGTAAGGAAACGTATCAGAGACGTGCGGCTCGCTCCAATTGTTATCAAGGCGTAAACTACGATCGGCCAGTGAGATTGGAGACCTGTCAATGCGATGCAAATGATTATCAGTGTGCTTACGGTTTTGTACCCAACGGAAATCCGTATCACTGCATCCATAACAAAACCATGCCCGATTATGACCCATATGCTGTGCCGATTTCGTGTCAACCTGGTATGTTTTATAATCGCACGAAGGGCTACGTCAAAATATCCGATGATGATTGTACCGGCGGCCTTGCAAGAAACTATGAGCCCGATGAAATCCCATGCCCGATGGGCGAAGGAGCAGACTTCTTATTGGTCGCTCAACGAGAACACATTACACGAATCGATTTGGCGGAAAACAAATCGGAAGCGTTACCTGTGCACGATTTAAAGAATGTTATTGCAATCGAATTCGATATGAAAACTAATTGTTTATATTGGGCGGATATCGTAAACGATACAATCGGCAGACAGTGTCTGAATGGTACTAGTTATCCTGAGATTCTTGTTGAGACCGATTTGAGTTCCATTGAGGGAATGGCTTTTGACTGGGTGTCCAAGGTGTTATATTTTGTAGACGGTGTTAAGATGAGAATACAAATTATCCGAACAGATGTATCTGCTATGGGCAGAATGCGTAGGACAATATTGGGGCCAAACAATCTGCAAAAGCCACGAGGTATCGCAGTTCACCCCATACGCGGCTATATGTTTTGGACCGATTGGGCACCAAACAATGCCTCAGTATCTCGAGCTAACCTGGATGGTACAGATGTTAAACGACTATTTGTTAAGCCTACTGTCGACTGGCCGAATGGAATAACGATTGATTACATAGCCGAACGTTTCTATTGGGTGGATGCTCGATTAGATTACATAGCTTCCTCGGATCTTGATGGTAAAAAATTTAAGAAGATTATTGCTCAGGAAACGCGTGTAATGCATCCTTTCGCGGTCGCTGTGTTTAAGGACAATTTGTACTGGGATGACTGGAAGCAGTCAATGATATTTGTTGCCGATAAAGATCATGGGGTCGGAATTAACACAGTACTCGGCTTTCAGATTGCGGGTTTAATGGATTTGAAGATCTTCGCGCACAGCGTGCAAGTTGGCTCGAATAAGTGCGCGAAAAACAACACATGCTCACACATTTGTTTGGGCACGCCTGATGATAGCTACGTCTGTCTCTGCCCGGATGGCATGGTGATGACGGATGGTATATGTTTGTGCCCGGGAGGTAACGAGCCATACTCCAACTCAACGTGCCCGCGTGTCGCTAGCACCTGCTCGTCCAACCAATTTGCTTGCAACAACAATGTATGCATCCCCGAGTTCTGGAAGTGTGACGGTGATAACGACTGTGGCGACAATTCAGACGAGATTCAATGCAACCGCGCCACGTGTAGCCCCAATAATTTTGAATGCGATGATAACAAATGCATTCCTAAATATTGGGTATGCGACCTGGATCGTGACTGCAAAGACGGCAAGGACGAAATGAATTGTACGTACAGCAATTGCACCGAAACGCAATTCAAATGTGACAACGGCCGCTGTATATCGCATCGTTGGCGTTGTGACGGTGAGGATGACTGCCGGGACAGCTCGGACGAACAGAACTGTACCAAGAACGTTCTACCGAATACATGCCGATCCGATGAGATCGTCTGCAAATCAGATCACTCGTGTATACCGACATCCTGGAAATGTGATGGCGAACCAGACTGCGAGGACGGTGCTGATGAGAAGGATTGCAATAATATGGTATGCGAGTCATGGCAGTTTACGTGCAACAACACCAAAGAAAATGGACATCGATGCATATATAAATCATGGGCGTGCGATGGTGACAAAGACTGCATCGATGGTTCGGACGAGGTAAATTGTACCTCTACTATTCTACCAACGTCGATAATCCCGGTGTTACCGACAAATTCTTGCAATGACTGGATGTTTATGTGCAATAACAAGAAATGCGTGCCCTATTGGTGGAAATGCGACAGTGTGGATGATTGCGGCGACGATTCCGACGAGATAGGCTGTGGCAATATGGATGGTGTGTTGGAACCCACGTCTCCAGTTCACACGACGCAGCAGTCACACATCTGTCGCGAGCATCAGTTTCAGTGTTATAACGGTGAATGTATTGAAAACGCGTGGGTGTGCGATGGTTTGAATGACTGTTCGTCCGGCGAGGATGAACAACAATGTGAACATAAACGGCCGTCGTGCCGAGAGAACGATCAATTTATGTGCCGTCAAGACGGTTCATGCGTACCGCTTTCGAGCATGTGCAACGGTGTCAAGGAATGTCCGGACGGCAGTGACGAATTCGGTTGTGAGAAAGAGATGAATCCACCTGCTAAGCCAGCCTGCTTTATAGGTCTTTACTCATGCGATGAAGACCGCTGCTTCCCAATGGCAACTATGTGCGACGGCAATCACGATTGTATAGATGGCTTCGATGAGGATCAGTGTAAGAATAGCTCGCGCGTATATCAAGTATTAGTGATGGGTGTTGATGAACGTTCTATCAATGATACAAGTCTCTACCTCTTTTGGTGGATGCCGATACCATCGAACGTGACGTTCGAGTTCTTGCCATCAGTCGCGAAGGCGGCACCAAATGCTACGTGGAGTAACGCTACCCATTGGATCGAAGACACGGAGTATCAATTCAACAATCTCTCGCCGTTTACTAAATACAATCTAACAGTCTATGTGAGAGTGAAGGGCCAGTCCGAAGTATTCCCACCGGCAAAGTATTATACGGCGTTGACTAGCGAAGGCGTGCCAAGTGAGCCGTGGAATGTGACGGTCACACAGAAGAATGGCACTCGTGTAGAGGTGGCTTGGAGACCACCCTTACTTTCTAATGGTCCTATTTGTGGATATGTAGGCTACGTCACGCCACCGATACCACCATTAGAATTTAAACAGCAACAAACCTCCACAACTGTCGACATGGCATTCGAGGCGGGCCAGAATTATTCCTTCTGGATCGTGGCACAGAATAAGCAGCATCACTCAGCCTCATCGAAAGTTGTCACACTTACGTTTGATGGCATAGCTAAAATCGACGATATTGAGGATCTTCGTGTAGTGGCCATAACGAATCACTCTGTCACTTTAACATGGAAGAAGATGCAGGACGTGGATGGATATAGTATTACTCCCAGAGGACCACCGCACTATGCAGGTTTGCAAACTGTCTCAACAACAGACAATCTGATGAAAGTCGAAAAATTAGCGCCGGGCATTAAATACACCTTTGAAGTCGGCGCGACAAAGAAGCAGTACATCGGTAAACTCACCTTGGTAACAGCTACGACGAATGGCACCGCATTGCCTGCGATAAATAACTTCGACGCACAGTTGGTGAAGTCTCAGAGAACAACCGTAAAACTTACTTGGGATCCCCCGAAGAGCACTAGGAAGATCAAGTGGAAATATGCTGTTCACTATGGAATTCACTTCATGGAGGAATTCTTTAAATGTAAGGAATCATTTACATTTACGATTTTCTTATAAGGATAATTCTTATTTTAATATCTTGGATGAGATAATAGATATCTTATTCTTATTATACTATTTGACATCGTTTTATTCTTCATATTTGTTTTTCTTTCAGAAGAAAAAATATATATATTTATATTTCTATTTTTAGCACCACCCAATTTTATCACCACTAATCTTACGGCTACGATTAAGGATTTAGAAGCGTGTGAAGCATACGTCTTTGCTGTTGGCGTCTATGGAGACTACGGAGCAGGACCTTTAAATCAACCGGTTATAGTTACGACGCATTACAATGCACGTGCACCTCCGAAGAAATTGCGAGTAGCGCCATCGACGGATAAAAATGACAGTATAATCGTTTCGTGGATGTCAAGTTGTCCAGTAATGGACGAGATGGTCAGTTACACGGTGAGTCAATAATGCTACAAAATATTTTCCTGAAAAAATGACAATGCGAGAAATTTTAAGAAAGTTGAGATTTATTATCTACGCACGCGCACGCGCGGAGAGTTTCTCAAAGATACCATTTTCCTTTTACTAGAGAAAAATTATAAAATGCATGTATTTTTTTGTTTGTAGCAAAAATTATTCATTGATCTTATATCTTTTTCTCGATTATAGATTTCCGTTACGGAAATGATTCTAAACAAGCAGATAGTTGTGACAATGCGAGAAATTTTAAGAAAGTTGAGATTTATTATCTACGCACGCGCACGCGCGGAGAGTTTCTCAAAGATACCATTTTCCTTTTACTAGAGAAAAATTATAAAATGCATGTATTTTTTTGTTTGTAGCAAAAATTATTCATTGATCTTATATCTTTTTCTCGATTATAGATTTCCGTTACGGAAATGATTCTAAACAAGCAGATAGTTGTGACACTGCCACCAACTAACGAAACTGTTCTGAAGCATATATTCCATGCCATCAAATTCGGTGGGACGTACAATGTTACAGTAGCCACAGATGTCGACAATGCTATACCTACGAAACCATTCATCTATATAGCGCCACCGCTTAAGCCGCCTCATCAGCTCACCGTCTTACATGATAATATGGAATACTTGATTTACTGGCAAGAACCGGAGAACATCCGAAAGGATACTGATAGGTATTATGAAATTTTGGTGGCCGAAGGATCGAGAACAATAAACGAATCAACCGCCAAAGTCTTGTCAGTCAAAGATCCGCCGCCTTACCGCTACAAGGATGCTAAAACGGATACGATTTATACCTTTGCCGCGCGTTTGGTCACAAATGAAGGATACCAAAGTCCATTGAGCGAAACTTGGAGCACGCAGATTTCAGGTAAGTTATCTTTAACATTTCTTTTTAAACTAAGACATGTTTTAATAATAATCTTTTCCCTTTTTATTTGTTCTGTAGGATCGCAGCTCCCAGTAATAATGAATACATCGGGCATATTATCTCTCGCTATTCCGATCTGTTTGATCGTTATAGCGCTTGGTGCTGCGCTCGCATATTTCATCGTTCGACATAGGAGGCTATCTCACAGCTTTACGCAATTCGCTAATAGCCATTACGATACGAGACGAGGACAAGCTACCTTTCCTGGTACAACAGATGGTTTAGGTGAGTGCTGTCTCGCAATTTGGAAAAAAGGGATAAGAATGATATAAAACGACATGTGAAAATCTATTGATTGTTTCTCTTTTTTTTATAGAAGAAGAAGATAGCCCGGTAATCCGAGGCTTTTCGGATGACGAACCGCTCGTAATTGCATGAATATCATATGTATGTGTAAACAAAATATTTACGTACTAGGAAAGATGTGCCAAGACACTATTAATGTAATAATTTTGAATAAGTCAAATTTTATGACGGAAAGAAAAGCTTTTATGAAATTGTTTTAAAACTGAATACTGAATTGTAGTCGTACTTATGTTATAGTAATTAACGGCTATCAATCGGTAAATAGGGTTGTTTAGAACGCTTACATGAGAGCTTTTCGCATCATTCATATGGTACGTTGTCGTGGTATACATGTACATTACGAGTGATCGGAGTAACTACCTGCCGTGCAGTAGGAGAGGCCATTATATATCTCAAATTTGATTGTAAGCAAATCAAGATAGGTTGAAAGTGTGGTTTACCGTCTAACGAAAGGATAAACGCCAATCGATAAAACGGCAACTTGTATATAGTAAATATTTTATATGGATTGATTGTGAGACTTTCGAGATGACAGGCATTTGCATTTTTAATAATGTATTTATATGACATGTACGTATGAAGAAACTTTTTTTAGTCCGTATTCAGATTTGTTGATGCAAAAGTGAGTTACCCGGGATGAACTTTTTATTAAAAGCTGTTTAAATACCCACACAGAGGCCATAAGTTTTTTTTCAATATAGCAAGTGCATGACCAAAGTAATGTTTTCTTTTAATGTCGTATCCAAGAATTAGCGTCATCTGTTCATAGAGTATATATATAGATTTATATGACGTTTCATTCAGGTTCTCCAGCTTGAATAATCATTTTTTAAGTAACTTTTTATAATTGTCCCGATTAGAATTTTATATCAAACATGATGCGACATTGAAAGAAGTTTTTGTAAGCGAGTCTCTCAATTTCGCAAAAGGGTGACTTAACCCTTGTAAAAAGTGTGTTGCAATTGCAATTTGAATACTAAGAATTTTTCATCTTCAGGTACAAAAAGGATATTCGACAAATGATATTTGATTTATACTATGATTAAAGTAGACAACATTTTTTTATTTTACATTATCAAAAGATAACGTATTCTTTTTCAAGATCGAACGTTTTTAGTTAAAATTGGGAAAGGTTTACCGAGACAAGACACCAATGAGAAAGCCACAGATCGGTGATGTTCTCAATGCAAATAAAATGGTAGCGACCGTCGTGACTTTTAGATTAATGTAAATAATGTTTAAATATTTAAGCGTGTGAACTTTTACCACTTATTCCTTGTTGATTCACATCCATAAAAGACTTGAATCCATAAATGATTAAATTCCGTAAATCATTTATATTTTTATGTTGGAATTCTTTCTTATTTTATGTGTACGAGCAGTTTCCTCACTGCAAAAACGATCAATTTGACAGAATCTTTTGTTGACACGTATATACACAGTGACGATTATTTTACTGAATTTAAATTATCGGATTAAGAAAAATTGACATTCTTATGTATTAAGGTGTTTATACCTTGACAAAAAAGCAGAAAGTAGAAAAGTAACAGTCAGAACTCACGTTGGAAGTAATAAACAGTATAGAAAACCGAAATTATCGATTTTCAGCGCGAGTTTTGATTGGCTGCTATTTTCCTGCTTTCTGCTTTTCTGTTAGCGTGTGGACATGTCCTTATGGTATTATGAAATTATAAATTAATCTAAATTATAAGATGTGTGATGAATAAGATTTACAATTCCCATTTATGTCCTGTTGCATACTAATTTTGAAAATCGCACTCTTTGACGACAGAAAAAAGTGATGAAGATACATCCACCGATGTCAGATCGACTAAAAGCGTTTACAGAAGTAACAAAACTTGGCTCATTTTCTTTGTGTTGTAGCTAACACCAGAATGATAATCTTCTGAACGAATGGAATTAATTATAAAGAAAAGGTTCGCCTGCTAATATCTGATGCGATTACACGCTTGGTCCACTAACGGTTTACTTCTTCCCTTCTATCTACTATATGTCATGACATGTTGAAGAAGAAAATACTAATGTGAAAACGTCAATGTTTTTGAATCTGTGTGTTACGCGGCTTCTATATGTCATTAATAATGTTGATACAATTACATTCAGTTGCATTAATTAATAATAATGATACGACATTAATGTTAAATGATCAATATTATTATCTAATGTGATAATATTATGCAACGATATTGATCATGTATAGGCCGCCTTAGTGAGAGCGATGAGAATAGAAAAAATAACATTTACATGTAAATGTCAAAGTTATAATGCGACAAGAGACACAGTGATATATATATATATAATATATATACATATATAAAAAATATATTTACGTGTAAATAAATAAATATAAGGTAAAAAATATTGTCATTTAACTCTTCTTGTTTTTTTACTTGATACCTTAGCCTATTTATTAAATTCAAATCACATACATTACATTATCCATTGATTTACTTTTTCTATTAATAATTCTTATCGATATAATTTTTTACTTATTTTTTCTATTTAATTAAAGATTCATTTAAATGAGTTCATTTCTATTATTGTTTAATTACCTATTGTATTTAAAAACCTATTGTAGATCCGGGTTTATCTTGTCAAACTGACGAATTCTGGAATTACATAGCGGATGTTCCGGGCCATGTCTCAATTCTTGAAAAGTGGAACGGCAAAAATAATAGTTTCGTTTATTCATGACAAGCCCATCTCATCCAGGGAAGGTGAAAGACTTCCGTTACCATTCTAAAAGGTAATTTGGAAGTTCGTGACCCGTTACCTCATTAAGCAAACGGCATGAAACCGGAAATTCAACACCATCCTGTTAATTCTCGTATTGTTAAATTGCGGTCAAATTCCGCGGTTACATCTTTAACGCCTGATTACATTCAATGGTTATTAATAAAATATAATTATCCTTATTAAACATGTATATATGTTATGTATATGAAGGTATTTATATACACAAATAATAAAATATGTATTTATATCAAATATAAATATTTTATTATTTAAAATTATATAAGATTATGATATATTTTGAGGAAGTTGTTAAACAATTATATAAGAATTTTTTATATCTTGTTAACATATAAGCAGAATATATGAAGGTAAAAAGAGATTAAAATAAATTTATCAAAAATATCTTTAAACCTCTTAGAAGCGTCTACATGAATATTTTCACATGTTACCTTCTTTTTGTGGGAGATGCGCCCTAATTAAGAACGCACCCTCTTCTAAATCGTGCGTGCACAGTATTTTCGCAATAAACTTCAACATTTGACTCGCGATGAAGTAAAAGGAAATTTAAAGGCCATTATTCCGGCGTTACGGAATACCGTTTACTTTCAACTGTATTAACTTTTATTACTATCTTCCACTTCGATCCCTATGTTTCGTATTCTCTTCATAATTCCATACACCTTACATTTCATCGTTGACTGGTAATGGCATGGGCTATTCCGAGAAATTAACAGACAGTATACCACTATCATAAAACATTATAAGAATTCCTAAGATGATGTATGATATGCGATTTTGTTGGAACGGTTCTTCAGCTCGAAAAACCATCTCGAAAAAAAAAAATGATACGCGTGGTTTCCTCGCATTTTCCGTAAACCAACATCACGGTATCATAATTATGTCCAAGTGTTATCAATTTTCAAGTTTATTTTTATTTTTATGTAACGGTGAAAACTGCTTCTTTTTGCGAAAAACTAATCTTATATCTATGCGTGCAAGGCTGTATAATTTCTAAATGTTCAGTAATAAATGGCATTAGTGTTTGTTATGTGATATGTTTATCTTCTATAAAACAATATGATTCACATTATTTCATATTAAATTATTATCTAATATTTAATTTAATTTTTTATAATAATATAAAACTAATTCAAAAGAGCAAATAAGAATCGATTATAAATAAATTCATTTAATAAATTAATTTAATTTATGTCTATTATTATTAATCATAATATACATATCGTGAAATATCATTTAATTACAAAAGTCGCCTTTATTGTTACAAAGCGGGTTTATTCGCAGATATTTTTAACGCATTTTTTTTCGTTATTTATGAGACTCGTAAATTTTGCACCGATCTACTTAATTGACCGCGAAGAAAGGACGTCGCGTCTTTACGTTTTAAGCTAAACTAAACGATGCGGCGCGTTATAACGCGTAAACTCGGGGCAACCGCGCGCGCGTATACCGTAATCATAATTGTTACCCTAATTATACATACGGCTAGTATGCGTACATGCTCCTCTCCTAATCAGATCGTTTGAAGTCTAAATCACTTCGTGTTACGGAGCGCAACGGGTGCTGCCGGGTGCTCTGATCTTCTCATTTCGGCGCTCGAATAAGCGTTTTATATCAAATGGATTGTTTAACGTGTAATTATTCGGTTAATTATATCTATTTTCGCCATTTGCTCGGAGAGCGTAAGTTATATAAAGCTATTAATATTGTTCGCGAATATTTTTTACGGACAGAAAAGAGAACGCGAACGCTTTCTCGGATCATTTCATTAGAGATTTCTTAAGTTGCAGAATATTATATTTAAGATTTACGCGATACAAACGTTTTTGACGTATCTAGAGCAGTATATATCTCTATCTAGGTAATATCTTTCAATAGTCGCATGACTTTTCAGAAATCGTTGCTCCGTAAAATTTATTAAGTTTACGTCATAAACTATAAGTGTAACAGTTTTCATTTTATATCTATACAATACAATTTACGCTTTTTAAAGCATGTGTGACACGAATAAATCAATCTTGCGTTTTCTAAAATTATTACAAACGATATAATTATTACAAACGATATAATTAGCCTACATAAAGTTTATTTTACGAAGTACAACGATGCTTGAACATAAAGTGATTATTGATTTGAACGTTTAAAGCAATGATTAAACGTCATTAGCTACAGCACAACATCAGAAATCTATAAAGTACATTCTAAGAATTTATTGTTATTTATAGACTATGACGGGATAATAAAAATAATCGTTGAGAAGCATTGATAAAACAGTTTTTACTTTTGTTCCTTTTATGTTATTCATAATTAGAGACATATGTATGCAATGCATAAATAGAAAATGCAATTATGTATGACGATTAAATGGCAAATTTTGCTTGCTGAAAAGTACGGACCTACTTTTGTAAACGCCTACATTCATGCCATCAATTACTTATTTTTATTCCCAATAACCTTGATATTTATTATAGAAGAGCAGTATAATATAAATCGATGCATAATTAGATGAGTTGCAACAGAGGACCAGTTTTCACCGTATCGTAGAATTTTATTAGACTTCGCGATAAAGAAGAATGAAGTGTCTATATGTATAAAAAACACGAACGTGAGACATTTAATTAAAATCACAATTTATATGCGAGTGAAGGGAAAAAAGAGAATAACCTGAACAACACGTGTAAGAGCGGAAGCTCTGAAAGACATGTTAATTACTTAATTTTTTATCTATTTTTGTACCTTCTTGAATACCTTTACAGTTTCACAGAACCAGATTTCATTTTTTCTGCTTTATTAAAGTACCGCTATTAGATAACTTGCCCGTAAACTGCTTATGTTGATTAAAAAGACCTACATGTATAAGATACAAATTTTTACGATACCAACGAAACAGATTTTACTTTTTTTGTCTAGGAAATACGCAAGAAAAGGGGATGTTAAAAAGAGGTCAGTTTTTACCTAAAAAGGTGTAAGAGGAAATAGAATAGTGTTTTTTGTAGATTTTGGTTTCCTGGATGCGATAAGAAAGTTTATAACGTTTGAGGAACATTCTAAAAATTTAAAACATGATGTGTATTTAAAATTTTATATTCTCCATAATCTTACTTAATTTTCGAGATATTCCTCAAACGTTATAAACTTTTAAATATAATTTTATTTTACTTCAAATATATATAATTTCATATCCAGGAAATAAAAAATCTACAAAAAGTGCATTCCTTTTACTTACACCTTTTTAAACAGAAATCAATGTCTTTTTAACATTTTCGATTTTCCTTCTTTAACAAACTGACTATACTGATTAAAGAGACTGAATTGTGAATTATTAATCTCTGTTGTTTCTTCCAAAAAATTTCTGTATAGCAGTTAATTAGAGCAGTTGACCTTTCTTTCGGGTGACAAAATTAAAATAATCCCGTATTGAAGTGCCTTGTATAAATCACTAAAATTATTATACATTATCGTAACCCGTTAAGATGTTTACGATGATAAACTACTGTTATTTAGATACACG